CCCCAGCGTGTTTGTGTATGTATGAACCTAAAGAATAACTTCATGAAGTTACCATCATCTGCTAATTCTTCAAGATACTCCAACTACCTGGCCCATTATTACTTTTTTCGCTGAAACAACACAATGTAAAATATAATCGTAGCTATCCTGCTTATCGCAAAAGGAGTATATTGGAGATGCGACAATGTAGGGCTTATTTTTTTGGGTGACTTAGATGATAGACAAAATGTGTGAGGAAAGATGAGTTGTGTAGACTGTAGAGTCTCCGGCAGCATCTGGCTTGGGAAAAAAATATGGCTTCCAATAGCAACTTCAAGCATTTCTTAAGCTATATTACATCTTGTAGTCTAGTTAACTCCCAAAAACTGAGAACATGAAGGAATATAAAGAGAGACAGAGGTGAGATGAAGTCATTGCATTTTTTCCTTTTTCCTTAAAAGGGTACTTTGGTCCATTCCTCATTTATGAGTTTCAATCGAGTATGTTAGCTGTGGAAATAGTTCTTCCCTAAATTTACATTCCTTCGGTTTCAGGAATTATGTTTCTCGAAGATACCCTTTTTTGTTACTGTTTGTGGTGGAAGGGGGAGCCTTGAAGCAACGATAAAGTTGTCTTTGTGTGACCTTTAGGATTAGGATAGGTTGCTTGCATCACACCCCCTTAGGGTTCAGCCCTTCCCCTGATCATGCATGAAAACGGGATGCTTTGTGCACCCGGTTGCCCTTTATTTTTTGGTAGTTTTGTGGTGCCTCTATCCAGCTAAACCAAGTCCTCCTTCCTTCCTTTCTTTCTTTCTCGCTCTCTCTTGAACACTCGTACATTCTTTCATGCACATGTGCATCCGTGTAACGCAAAATTATGCCTGCCAGGTATGGCGTAAGTGGCTTTCCCACACTGAAATTCTTCCCAAAGGGAAACAAAGCTGGTGAAGATTATGATGGCGGCCGAGACTTAGATGACTTTGTCAACTTTATTAATGAGAAGTCTGGCACTAGCCGTGATTCGAAAGGGCAATTTACTTCAAAGGTTTGTAATGCTGAATAAAGTGGTTGATTACAACATTATAAAAAAAAATTGTCCTTGCATTTTTAACTCTCTTTTGTACCTTATGGCAATAGGCGGGTATTGTTGAGTCCCTGGATACATTGGTGAAGGAGTTTGTCAGTGCCACAAACGAGGAGAAAAAAGCTTTGTTTAGCAAGATGGAAGATGAAGCTGGGAAGCTGAACGGTTCTGCTGCAAGGTAGGATTATACTGGAGTATATAGTTGTATTGATTTACCTTATATTTTGGAGGTGTAGCATACTTGCAGTTGTATTGTTATGTTATTCTAGCAACAGGAAAAATTGATGTTCTGCACCTGGGACTTGTTGCCTTTGGGTGAACGTCTTGTTTGTGCCTTTTTCTCAACTCCTTTCTAAATCATCTTTCTAGATATGGCAAGATTTACCTAAAGGTTGCCAAGAGTTCCATGGAAAAAGGAGCTGATTATGCCAAGAATGAAATTCAGCGGTTAGAGCGCATGCTTGCCAAGGTATAACTGCACCTTTTCTCTTCATGCTTTTCTTATCCATCATAAATATGTGCAGCAGCTATAAGTGACCTTATAATGTCACCTTCGCAAACATCCCCTCTGCCCTATCTCTGTTTTTTGTATCCCACATAATGTTGATCAGTTGGCATGAGTTGTGGTATTGCTCCAATTTCTTGTTAATAATCCACCTGGGCTAGATGAAAAGGGGTGTAGGAGGAATAGGGATTAACTATGGAGCATGAATGGCAACATTACTCTACTAGTTTATTCTCTTCAATTTGAATTCTCTTAATTATTACAGTAATATGTTGATAAAGGCTTTTTAATAATCTATTGATGTGTAAAGTTCTGAATTGTTTTAACTAAGTTCCGCGTCTTTCCTTTTTGGATGGAGAAAATTTTGAAGTTCCTGCTTTTAATTGTATAACAGAAGCTGACTTCTCTTTTGTATATTGAATGCTACAGTCAATCAGCCCGGCTAAATCTGATGAGTTCACCCTCAAGAAGAACATCTTGGCGACGTTTGCATGAAGTCCTTGCTAGTGTTGCAGCTTGTGATGCCTCCAGGCTTGGCGTCACCTGGAGTTTTGCCCAAGGTCGAGAAATGCATTATCTGGTTGATCTTCTGTTGCACATTTTTGTACTCGGAAGTATTGCACACGACAGATCTATTTAGGCATTTTATTTTATACCAGTAGCTATGTCAAACCTAGACATTATGTCTCTTATGATTATCAGCTTCTTTGACAAACAATTAGTAAAGCATTATCATCACGTCATGACTTCATGTTAATCTTCTAACTTTAACTGCATTATACTAGATTTCATCTCACTTCTTCATGCTTTATATACAAGTAGACATTCCACTGTCCGCTTTACTGTTTGTTAAAGTTATTGTTGTTGGATTGAGATGAGCTTAAATAAAATGAGATTGCCAATGAGAATTCATATAGTTGATCCAAACTTGCTTGGGATTGAGGCGTAATAGCTGTAAGAGCCATTATCCAGCGCCTAGCAGTGCTCAAAGCGAGATCTTTCCGTGCCTTTTCTTGTTTAGGCACATCTCTGCACTAGGATGTACAGAAAACTTCGTCATTATGATTCTAGTATGTGGAGGCTTTTCATAAGGGTATACCATGTGAAGTAAAGATGTTTTTCTCCTAAACTAAATAGGAAAATTACAACAAAGTGCCAGGAATAGTACTTCACTGCACAAGCGCATACACATTTTTTAGTTGCTTAAATTAATGTCTGCGACTATACTTGCTTGCTCGTTCCCCTCCCTCTCTTCCCCCGTTACTCAAAAATAAAAAGTGAAAAGTTCAAAAGAAATCGAAAATATACATTGGTTACATTTCAATCTTGATCTTCCTCCTGTGTTTTCCCAAGAGTCGCAACCTTGTTAATCTGACATTATCTTTCCTCGTCAAATTTTCTTGTAGAAGTAGAATGTTTGCCTCCTGGGTAGTACACCGATATTGTCTATTAACTGAGGTAACACAAGGATGTGCCTTAAATTTGGGATATAGTTAAAGGATGTTTTTAGCCAAAAACTCATAAATTCTTCATTGCTAACGAAAAGCATAGGATGAAAAGGATTTCTGAAAGAAAGTCTTCACATTCATCACGTCCAAGCAAAACTACTTTTAATTCAGATTTTGCAATAAAAGAATTTATTAAATACAAAAATTCAAGTCATTCAAAGGATCAGTTCAGGCGATGAAGGACCATACTCCTAAATCGTGTCAACTGATCAACAATCTTGAGTCTTTGCAACAGCATGCTAAGCCACCTAAAATACGCTTGTGAGTCTATTATGGGGGAAAATACATATCCAAATTGAGTTTATTATGCAAGAAAATATTTATCCACACTCATGTTCATACCAAATCACATTTGGTAATCATAATTAAGTGATAAACTGAAATGAAAATATATAGTACTAATTAGTCATTTAGGTGATAACTTGTATGTAAAAGACTAAAGGTATATTATTGTCCTGGTGTTGATAGGTTTTGATTTTTTCAATAAACGGACCAATTGCAACTAACAATATTTAAGAGGTAAATCAAATGTGAGATAAAATTTATCTGTAGATTGCTCATTATTTCTTATTTTGAATGTCTGTACTATTAATCTATAGTGTGTAGAATTATTTTAAAAATAAATTATTCATATAGGAAATTAATATCTCATGTCATAATATATATTTAAATTTTTATTACCTTCGTGCAAGGTAGTAAAAATGGATAATAAACTATCATGTACGTACTAATTATTAGTCACACATGATATCTGAAAATAATTTATATCCGTTTAAACGGAGCACATGTGTTAATATTATAAAAAAATTACTGATAATTTTTATAGGATTACATAACATATGGCAAGTCAAATGATTAAGTAATTGTTATTCAATTTATCATAATCAAGTAATTATAATTCTTGTTCTTCAACCTTTTAAAGAACATTTTGACTATTTGAGACATGAAGAAAGTGTTTCAAGTGTGGACATATATTTTGAAAAACCAAGGGAAGGGATGTAGGAAATGGTGAAGCATAGTAGAACAGTAAGGAGCAGTGGACCACGAATAGAAGCTCAAGCGGTAGATTAGGGCAATCAATTGGCACCCAATCCATTCACAGAGAAATAAAAAGACTCACAGCTTATTGTAAACCCTAGTCCAGCTCTAGCTCGTGTCTAGTTGTGTTAGTCCGAACTCCGATCACTTGTGGATATATTGTTTTTAGTCTTTTTTGAATATTTCTTTTACCTGCATCAGTTTATGTATTTGCTTCTTCTTCAGTAAAGCTAGAGGACTAAGTTTTGGGTTTGGGAGGAGTAATTGTTGCTAGACTTGCTCAGGTAATCATTCTCAACTAAATTATACTGTACAGTATTTGTTATCTTCTCAATAGGGTTTGCAGTTCGTGTTGTATTTTACTAGCTGACATTTGCATTTAAACAACTTATTTATCTAATAGTTGTACTTTTATATACTTGCTAGATATTATTGTCTATCCACATTTGGATTCAAATGTTGTTTGTTTGGACTTTTCTTCTCTGGCATTTACACCACTGTTTTTTTGGCTCCAAATACGCAACTGCACTCTCCTTTATTGCTTGTTACCTTTTAAGCAAACACATTTCAAGGCCTTCCAGTAGGGAAAAAAGTTACTCCTAGTTTTTTGTTTGTTCTTTGAGTAGTTGTCAATATCAAATTTTAGTAGATGTGCACCAATTGGCTACCAGTCTTAGGTTCGCCTCTGACAGTGTGATTTTTTAGCTGATTGATTATATCTTGCCATGGTTCCGAAATTTGGACACAAGTACCAATTTGAATTATCTTTGTTCGTTGGTGAGCTCTTTATACTTTAATTGTTTTCTTCACTTTTTTTCCCCTTTCTTGATAAGCATTTCCATCCTATTCACTAGGTCGTATTCTATAATTTGCTTCTATCGTGCATCTTGTGATGCCACTTGCCCGGAGACATTCACCTATTACTAAAAGCTGAAAGCATGGATGACCTAGCAATTTGTTGGATACTTATTCTGGTTTACATAGTTCTCTTACTGGGAAAATGATGGAACCTTTTTGATATATCTCCTGCCCTTTAAATCAGTTGGATGAGCTGTAGAAATTTATCAATAGTATTGTCACTATCAATTCCTTTTAATCCTTTAAATAATTCTTACCTTACAAAAAAATCCTTTAAATAATTGTTATGATTCTTATTCCTCTTTGTGATGACATATGCTATCTGTCCATACTCACTAGTTTGTAGACAGACTTGACATATTGAGCTCAACAAGTCAATTAGGGTATATGCATGATAGTTCTACAGATGTTGCTTGTACTACCAATTCACCTGGAGCATTGCAGCTATTATCAGTTGCAAATATACAGTCGGTAGCTAACAGTATTGACTCTAAGATTTTAATTTATATTTTGAAACTACTTCTGATATGAGTGAATAATAATATCAATAGACTGCCCCCTAGGCCTTTGGTGTAGTCAGTAGAGGTAAGACCATAGTTCTTGATGTATGAATTAGGTGCTGCCGCTAACAAAAGCCTTGTATTTAAGTGTTGAAGAGTACCCATTATCCATCGAGTTTAGAACTGTGTGCCAGTTGGACATGAGGGGTTTCTCGATTATCAGGAAGAAAAAAAAAACAGAACTCGAGATTCCGCCTTATACTTTTTTTCTTTAATAGTCCAAAAGTCTTTCTGACTATAGTTATGGAAGATGGAGATATTGCGGCGGGTGGAAAGAATGTGCTCTGTTAGATGTTTTAAGAGCCATCTTTATGTGAGTTCCATAGTACTGAGGCCATGAGTGCCACTAGAGCTTGTAGTCGAGCTCATTTATTTATCTCCGGGAATGAATCTCCAATCCTCCACTGCGGAAACTTTATGCAATTTTATTTATATTCAAGTCAAGAATGAACATCATTTTATTTTGGTTAAACATGAAAAAGAATGTACAATAGTCATTCATCTGCAAAGTTGGAGAAGTTACATTATGGAAACATATGCTTCTTGCTTTGGGGGTGAAACTTCCTCTATTTGACTTGTCATACTTTGTTTTTGGGTTGTTTTGGGAAGTTAATTTCATCGGTGTTTGATTTTTTCATGACTGGACCGAGATAGAGAAATTGATGATATTGAAAATCTTCAAGGTATTGGTTTCCTCATGGCTGGAACAGAAGATATAGCTAATGATGATGTTGAAGGTAAGCAATGTATTGGTTTAGACAAGTACATATATGATTATATCGTAGTACTGGTTTAAGATATTCTGAAATCTAATTCTCTCTAATTTGCTTGCTTCTTTTGTTTGTTTCTTCTTTTTTTATTTGGTAGTTCCTTTATATGCATCTCCTGCAAATGTCTTGAAGTTGTTAAAGGTGGAACAGAAAAGGAATAAATTAGACTCGCAGAAAAATGAGTTACAACAACAAGCTGACAGTGCCATATCTTCTTTGTACAAGAACATCCTCTTGTATGTGGCGTACACAGGAGGAATCATCTATTTTCATACCACTGAGTTACCATCTGCTATTGCCTTTAATGTCTCCATTCTATCAATGTGTTTGTTTATGACTGGACTGTTCTTTCATACGAGCTGGGCAAAATCGATGATTACAAGAAGGGACGGCTACATCGAGTTTTTTGCAGAAAGGCATAAAAGATTGAGAGTAGATGCACGAATTCTAGTGGAATTGGAAAACAACAGGAGAAGAAGAAGGCTAGCAGCCAATATTGCGGATAATAGTGAAGGTCCTCTCATAGACATGGCTTCCTTTATGACCAGATGTAAGACGATTTATGATGCTGCAGATTTTTATGACTTTCTGAAAGTTTACCATAAGAAGATCAACTTGTCTTGGGTGCTCGGAGGTGTCTACGTTCTTTTTGTGCTGATCATTGCATTCTTCAACTATTACTACAGTGAGTATTTTCTTTTCCTATGATTTTTTTAACATAATACAGAGAAAAAATCTCACAGTTTTACTAAATGAATTTGTAAAAGAATTCGAGGTTGGTGCATGCTAAAGCGTGATCTTGCAGAATTATAGATCTTTTTTATACTAAATAAATGCAGTTTCTCAACAATTCTAACCATTCTATTTGTTTTTCAATTACAGAGCAAGGACAGGATTATTCATTCTCTGACTAGCTGCCAACTTGCAACTTAGTGGTTGAATATTTGGGTCTTTGATGGTAAAACCCTGTTTTTTTTTTTCAGGAGCATTAGGCTTCTGATTCAAAAACATTGTTAGATGCCAAGGAGGCGAGTTTATTTTCTATAATTTCTGCAACACGGACACTAAATAGTGGAGTATAAATGCTTTCATCAAACAAATTTTTTTTCCTCACAGCATGTCAATATGAACTTGTCAAATACATAGGCTGCGTGTTCGTCTTTATGGAGGACTTCATTTCTTCTCCATGGTTGCTCTCTTTCTTGCATCGGCCTTCTTTCTTGACTTCTTGAACTGATTATGCAGATTGACCAGTCAACCTCTTACCCATTACTTTCTTTTGTTGTCTGAGTTATTCATCTTTTTCATTAATATAAAGTATGCTTCACAGATATTAATCTGTCCTATTGAAAACTAACAGTGACCAAGAAACACCTGTTCGCTGAACTCAACATGGACTCTCTTTTAGGCAGCTGTCCTATTTTTGTTACCCCTCCCCCAATTAAGTGTCCAAACATAAAATTCCTTAATTACTCATCTGGGAAGAACTTATTATTCGATCTATAGATCTATGTTCATCTCTAAGCTTGTTTATGCGTATAATGGATTTGCAAATACGATGTTAGTTTCCTTCTTTTGGTCTAAATTTCACTTGCAGAGATGGGAAGTACATGGAGCAATATCTGTATTCTCTCTAAACCAGGGATGTCTGTTCAAGTATGAGATGTTCAAGTTCTGCATTAGTATACAGTAGTAGTGGCAGTGGATCAGCATTTTCATTTAATGAGATTTAAATACTTAAGTTTTGTTGTGGCAGTGTTCTTTGGTTCTGACTGAAAAATGCAAAACATTATCATATCATTTGCACCTCATGCCATTGATATGTGCTATGGTGGTTTCAAGCCTTACTCGTTTTTTGATCTAAGCGTTGTCAGGTCAACTGAGACCTTCTTAGTGGACTGTTGAGTGACAATGGTTACTGCTGGTTATTGTTTTTGGGAATGGAAGGAACATTTGAATTGGTATAACTGAAATTTCAAAGGAAAGTACAATAGTATGTAGTTACACACAATCATTTGAATTGGTATAACTTTTTTCTTATGTAGTTCTAATATATCTGTGACATTTTCTTTTTTTGATATTTCAACAACACATAGTATAGATGTGAATATGAGTAACGTCATCAATGTTCATAAATGCTTCATGTCTTAAAGTTTGCATCTTATCTTTAAGAAAATGCAGCCTCCTCCTTTTTACGATCACACCAACATTTATCTTCTTTAAGATGTCTAGTATATCATTATTAGTTTCATGGTCTCCACTTTGGAAAAAAATAGTAGTTATCGTGATAGAGATAGTTAATAATTGTATTACTGATATTAGAAAATTTAATCAATTTATAAAAATAATAAATTGCATGTACAAGTATCCATTGTTTGATCCGATTATGAATAATTTTGTCAAATTTTGACAGAATATGAGTTGAATTGTTTAAACACAAAGTAACAGTGATTGAGGTGACAGTCACACTCACCGACCTAAAATCCTAGATTTGTGCTGTCGCCTTGCTAGATAATGAAATTTCAAGACAAATAGCAAACAACTTGAATAGTTGATGTATCGGAGGTGTTCCTCCCATACAAAATTTGTCAAAAGTAGGAAATAGTAAAGACACATTAAAATCATACTAATTTTTCGGCACGTGCGTTGCACGTGTATGTCAAAACTTGTATTGTACGACATTGTAAAATTATTAATGTTATTAAAACAAAACTTCAAATAAATTATTACGCATGAAAAAAATAAAACAATAGTTTCTGTTAATGCATGAATAGTGATGTCATCATATAGTAATGTGTTTGTTGAGGTTAAAATGATTGAATACTGTCTCGCGCTTACAAGAACTTGATATAAACTGTTCAAATACGTAAAAGTTGTTTGAAAATAATGGATGTAAATATCTATAAAAAAAAAAGTATCCAAATGATTTCTCAATGAGCTAATAATTATGTATTGCATCTTAAGTCTATATCTTTTATATTTCTCAAAATTTTCATACATATTAATATATCACTGTCTCCCCTACAGATTCATTATATATTTCTATGAATTTTTTTTAAAGAAAGGGAGTACTGTAAACATCATACTATTATGTACCTGATGATGTGATTGAAAAGTGAAAACTGCATAACTGCAAAGTAAAATCTGAAATTAAAATTAGTTAGTAAACAAAACTCAAGAAAATTTCATATATTAGAGCAAAACAAATGCAAGAAAGAGAACTACAAAAGGACAGGAGGTAAGGAAATGATTACCAATCCACAGTATATATGTAAAGGAATTAGCTATCTAAATTCGTCATAGATGAAAGCTAAGGGATCAATGAGTTGTTTTTTTTTTTTGATTTTATTGCATCATTTAATTTTATTAAATGATTAGAAAACAGAAATAATAACTGATGTTTACGGTTTTGAATACTTGGAAATATAAGGTTGTGTGTTTAGTTTCAATTTACGTTAAACCAAAGAGGTGACAGTGGCTAAATTAAATATTTAATTAGGAATTAGTTGCACATGTTTAGGAAGAAGTGAATAACTTAAATACTCTTGAACGTGATTAACCTTCGTGTAATTATAATATTACTATTTCTTCTTATTATATAAAATGTTTAATGTTTTATTACATTTTACCTAAAATTAATTTACAACAGGGGCAAAATCGTAATCCAACTTAGAAGGTAAGAGCTTCCCACTTTTAGTATGATATGATATGATTTGATAGTATCGCCTTTTTTTCGTGTTGATTTTCTCTGCAAAAGGTGTTCATTATTGAAACGATCTAATTTATCTATTGTACCCCCTATCTATGTGTTGCCAAGTTAAAAGAGAGCTGTGAAATCCTTGGTAGGGAGCGGTTTCTTCCGAATGGGGCTCTGATGATAGGCTGTAATTGCGTATTTAGTGGCTACACTCTAATTTACTGCACTTTAATTGAGTTTGAGCTTTAATCGCTAGTGTTTTGCACTAATTGTGTATTTTTTGCCTTGTAGAAGTGATTCCAAGCCATGTAGTTGTTATAAAATGAATTCAAGTGATTTGGAGTTTTGAAGTCTGAGTAAAAGCCCAAGAAATTAAGTCGGGATCGTGTTTGAGGATCAACGGATGATAGTTAATAACGAACGAAGAATCGAGTAGGCATATTGCGCACTGTCTAGTAAAATGCACATAACCTTTTGCTCAGAATTCTATTTGATCTCCACAATTTATGGTTGGAGAGCTAATTGAAAGGACTACAACTTTCATGTTTTACGTTTTTCCAAATTCTAAATAGAACAGGGTGAAAATGCGTTATAAGTGTGCGGCCGCGCACTAGATGCGGATGTGAGGCAGAAACTAGCCAAAATCCACGGCCAAATCCGCGACCGCGAATGTCCTAGCCTGGAAAAGTGTCCTTTTTCGCGTAGGAGAAGGTATAATTATTTGGGCCCTACCCTACTTGGTATATAAATATGGTAAATGGTATTTTGAGCACCTTTGACATACTTTTGATATAATTTAGATCTAAGGAGGCTAAGGAGACCGGGGATTCGACCTAAGGAGGAAAGAACACACTAGGAGCAAGGTGGAAAATTTTTCTACAAGTTGCTCACTTCCTTCTTCCTATTTCTACAAGTAGTGACGAGGCTAGGACACGACAATAACATGAACCTGTGCAGTTAAATCATATACGAGAAAATAGCAACAAATGGAAATTTAATAGATAATAACGGGAAGGGAGAAAACATGCTGAGGGGAATATCAAATCCTGAAAATAGTATATTAAAGGAACATAGTAAATATCATGCCTTGCACCAACGAAAGTAATAACATTGCAAACAAGTGCACGACATAACCCTTCGTGCTTTTACTCTCATTCTCACCATAAGAAACAATAGAAACGACACGGCATCACCCTTCATGCTTTTACTCTCTCATAACATGGCACGACATCACCTTTCGTGCATTAACACTCACAGGATATGGCACGACATCACCCTTCATGCATTATCACTCACTCACAAAATATTGCACGGCATCACCCTTCGTACTTTACACTTACTCACCTAAACAACAGAACAATAACAACCCGACAAGGAAAATCATCAATAACCAACCTCGTTTCAATGTTAAATTTCAAAATATAAATCTCAACTTGAGTCAATACTCAACCAATATCTAATTTCAGGAAAACATGATAAGATTTGTTTAACATGAAGAATAACCAGTTTAAGCATGAACAATATGAATAAAGAATACAACGGTCACAAGTATAAGACTCACTCACATGCTATGACCCGACAACAGGTACTCGTCACTTCACCTATACGTCGTATTCAACAACCAAACACATAGCAAATAAGACAACAACACCTAATCCCTCAAGCGAAGGTTAGCCACAACAGTTACCTCGACTCCACGACCAAAATCATGCCTCAATCACCGCTTTTTCTCTAGATTCCACCTCCAAGTCACTCGCATCTAGTCATAGTTAACTTAATAACATCAGTTATTGCTAAATAAATCAATTCGAATACACAATTATAGATTTTCTAACATTTTTTCCAAAAAGTCAAAAATTGACCCCGGGCCCGCTTGATCAAAACCCGAAGTTTGGACCAAAATTCGATTGCCCATTCACCCCCCGAGCCCAGATAATTGGTTTTGGATTCCTACCTCAATTTGAGGTCTATATCCCCAAATTTTGAAATTTCTAAGTTCTACCCAAAAACACCCAATTCCACCATGAAAAACCCTAGATTTTAGGAAGAAATCTTATAAAAAGATGTAATAGATTGAAAGAAATAAGTTAAGAATCATTTACCTATGATTTAGGGAAGAACTAGCCCTTGAAAAATCGCCTCTTGAAGTTCAGGTTTTGAAAAATGGGAAAATGAATGAAAAATCCCGTCTAAGTCCAAAACTTATCAGCTGCAGATGTCGCATTTGCGACCAGAGTTTTGCATTTGCGAGAATCTGTCGCATTTCTGTTGTTGTCGCAAATGCGAACCATTTGGTCGAAAATGCGAAGGTCCCTCCCCCAAACTCACTTTGCATATGTGAAGGGCTGTTCGCAATTGCGAACATGGGTTGACCCAGCTTCTCAGCAAACATGGGTTTGATTCCGGGCATACACACAAGCCCCATATTTTACTACGGACCCTCCGGGACCGTCAAAATGGTCCAGGTTCGTTCACTCAAAATGTTGACCGAAGTCAACTAAAATCACTTTTAAAGGCAAAAATTATTATTTTCTCAAATTTTTCACATTAAGGCTTTCCTGAAATGCGCACGAAAATAGAAGTGAGGTAAGATGAGATTTTGAAGGCCTCGGAACCCCGAATTAGGTTTTAAAATACGAGATGAACTTTTGGGTCATATAAATATATATGATCGAATTTAATATTTCAACAAAGTAAATTAATGTGCTTTGGCTTAGCACTGACTTTGAACAATTTATTTCCCGCTGAGTACAATTAAAGGACAAAAGAAAAATCAAAAGCAGATCTATTATTACTCGACAGCTTCAACTTGGCCTTAGTCCTCTGCTCTTTTCATACTTTTCAGTTTCATGTGAGTCGTCATTCCACCATATATACTGCAACCAAACAAACAATGGTTTCACTATCCTCGTTTTGTTTTGTTCTTCCTAAGGATAACAAGTTGCTTGTAAGAATTAATATAAGTTTATTTCTATCATACATCATGTCATGTGCATGTGCTAAACATTTTCTTGCTACAAAAGTTGTGTACTGTTACTGTGTAAATTGTTGAAATTCCTAAAGGCTTTACTTCATATATATATATATATATATATTCTCCTTGAAAATTACCAA